AGGATTGTTGCAAGCTTGTCATGCACAATAATGCATTACTTGCTGGCCACTGTCTGTTTTTTTTTAACGAAAAACAATGAATTTGCAAACTCAATAACCAGAGACGAGAAAAGTTGCAACTTCAAATGTTTAAGTTTAGTTTTGTTGCTCTTTTATGATTTAAACCACAGAACATACTGTGCAAACTTTAAAATCTTCTAGTAAAAGGCAAACTGTTTAAGGACATTGCTGTGTGCTCAAAATGTTACATTTGCAAATCATTTGATATTTATCACAAATAATATTTAGTGAAATAATGTATACAGTAAAAAAGTACATTCTAGGTTTACTCCGACATAGCAATATTTTCAGTTATTTTACAGCCATATCATTACATCAAGAGTTTCAATTTAACGATATAATTTTAGTGCTCCCTTGGCATATCGTTAAATAAGGGTTCCACTGTATGTTGACATTTTCTTTAGGATGGACATTCAAATCAAGGAGCCACACCCAGTAGTGGTAACACAGAACCAGTCAAAACTGAATCAACCACAACAGAGGATGCCAACAAGGTAATAACAGCATGCAAAGAAAGTCATGTCTGATAGCTGGTGGATTTTGCCATTGGGCTAGTGATTTTCATTCTTAACTTGCCTGATGGGCAAGTGCTGTTTTTTCGGAAAATTCAAATTACAGGATTGTAATCAATCCTGCTAATCAAAAAGGGTTTGGGGGCTGGTTGAAATGACTTGTGGCAGGGTTGTCACTAAGGGCCGAGGGCCGGGGGCCGGGGATTTCCCCCGGCTACTCAGAGCATGGCCCCCGGCTACTTTCGTCATTAAATTAAACCAAAAGAGCACACCTTTGAAACACACAAAGACTATCCATCAAACTAAATGAAAGTTTCATCTGCAGCAGGTTTAAGTAATTTTGAAATACTCGCGTGCAAAAACTAAGAAATGTCGGAAAAAGACATCTGCCTTAGATTTGGTACTAGTACACACGCGCGAAAACTCTCCGTTCGCGAAATGTCAGTAGGGAGTTTTAGCAACGACGACGGCAACGGCAACGAGAACGTCAAAAAAGCAATAGGATTATTGAGCAAAACAACTAGTTTGCACGTACATCACGCTTTTTTGTACATTTCTTTGCCGTTACTGCACAACTACGACGTGAAAATGCCTAGTTTCACGTTTTATGGAGGACGTAAACAATCGAAGACAAACTTTTCTTTCTCTTTCTAAACTTGAGTGCGGTCCCAAAGAAATCAACTCCAGGGAAATTGGCCTACATTAGCTATTTTCAGTGAAATAAACGAGACAAAGTTGGAAAAAGCGCCAATTCATTTTAAAAGCGACGTTTTCGCTGCCGTCACCTTTGTCGATGCTAAAAGTCCCTAGTTTCAACCGTTGTGTCGGCTTTGTGTTGAACATGTCGGAGAAGTGGCAAAGGAATCTGCACTCTTTGTTCACGATGAAAGACCTGAGCAGATCTCTTTTGACATCACAGAAGAAGTTGAGGCTTCATCCGAGCATTAAATCTCCCTGATGCTGATGTTGATGATAATGAGGATTATGATGAAGGCTTTGAAGATGAACACTATGACTGATTGCTATGTTTAACAAATTGACATTTAAGTGACCAGGTCTATATTTAGCTTTAGGTATCGAGTATATAAAATAATGCACGGTCAACGGGAAATGTTCGATCATTGTCCGCAGGTCATGATCACATCCTCTCAGTTCTACTTCCAAGAAGTTATGTTTAAAAGGGAAGTTAAGCATTAGCATTACTTTTGCCTTCTTCTCCCTGAGTCTCGTTTTGACATCTCAGCGTCGTTTATAAAGTATTAGCCCTGTCTTTTAAATGCTTTTCCGTATGTCAGTTTCTTCGTATGTTAAGTGATTATTCTGACTCCACTACACAACATCAACAGACAAAACGTAATGGCAAATAAGTTTATTTTGGGACGGCTTGGCGAGAACCAACCCTACAAAGTATTTATGTAAATACAATAATAGGTGAATACTGGTGAATACCTAATGTACAACACTTGTAAACTAGCTTTCACAAAAAGATAAAACTCGTGCGACAAATGGTCGCTCTTGACCTGAATCGCCCACTTAAGCAGGCAGGCTTAGTGCCAGGTAGGCTGCCAGTCATTCTGGGGAAACTAATTAATAAAACTCAGACAACGCATAACTGGCACACGGAACACGGTAGTAGCACAGAGGCTAAACAAAAAGAAAAAACTCCTCACAACTGGTCGATCTCGACCTGAATCCCCCAAATAAGCACACAGGCCGCTTAGTGCCAGTTAGGCTGCCAGTTAGGCTGGGGAAACTAATTAATAAAACTCAGACAACGCATAACTGGCACGAGGAACACGGTAGGAACACAGAGGCTAAGCAAAAAGAAAAAACTGCTACAACTGGTCGATCTCGACCTGAATCCCCCAAATAAGCACACAGGCTTAGTGCCAGTTAGGCTGGAGAAACTAATTAATAAAACTCAGACAACGCATAACTGGCACGAGGAACACGGTAGGAGCACAGAGGCTAAGCAAAAAAAAAAAACTGCTACAACTGGTCGATCTCGACCTGAATCCCCCAAATAAGCACGGAGGCTTAGTGCCAGTTAGGCCGGGGAAATTTAATAAAACTGTGATCAACGTATAACTGGGACCGGGAACACTTCAGGAGCACAGAGGCTGAGTGCCAGGAAAACTGGGAATTATCTCCACTAATGTACCCAACAAGGCACGTGAGCCCAATAACCAGTAAGACTGCCATAAAAAGGCTAGGGCGGGACATTGAGGGTAAACAATGAATAACGACCCTGGCTAGAGGTCTGTAACATTGCCTGCAACCTAACTGCTCAATAATGACTTACGCCGCCTCCTAAAGAGCGGTTCCGGGACAGCTGACCTAAGCATACATGGAAACTAAATATATCAAGTAAAGGAGCAGGTGCAAAACTGAGATAACTAGTGTACAAGTACATAAAATAAGAAACGGAAAAAGGCTGAAAACTAGCAGAGCTGAGCTACCGCTTACAAACTGAAGTAAATGCGGTCAGGCGGAGGCCAGAAAAAACCTGCCCAAAAAACCCCGAAGGGAAAAAAATGCGGGCAGGAAATCTGGGTAGGAACCAAGGCTCAAGCTCAAAGCCCTTCCCTACTGGGACTTTACAATGTAATCGAGAATATGTTGCTCCTAAAAATAAATAAAACAAAAATTTAAGAAAAACCAAGGAGAGGTTGGTTCGTAAGCCTAGATGACGAACACGTGATATACGCAGCCTTATATACCCCCGATATGGCTACCCATGGTGCACCCGGCCTAGTACCCAGGCCCTGTTGTATCTCGTGCCGTCAAAATATTTATTTCTGCCTTCTTCGCGGGCTCATTCGTCAGAAATAACATTTTCGTTCCTAAATTCGAGACCACTAATGTTACCAGTTGTGCAGTTTAGTTTTGCCATATTTTATCCCGCGATTTTTCGTACGTTACGCTTGTTTTAGCCTTATCATACGTTTATTTTTTAACAAACCATAGTAACCTTATGTTTATGATGCTTTTTCGTACATTCATCGTCTGCTTGTCGTCTTTCCGCTTCTCCGTGGGTTAATTCATTTGTAATATTAGTTTTACTTTTGTTTTCTGTAACTTGTTTCGTTCTTACGTATAACTAAATGAGGATTTACAATTGATTTTAAAACGCATGTTAATTCATTTGCACCATATAAGAATCGATTGTCCTTTCCACATTTTTAACATTTGTAAAGTGTCGTTGTGATTTAACACTTCACTGGCCAGCATGCGCCTTGTCTGCGTGAAGATAAGACTGCGCGGATAACGTGACCGGTGCCTACCTGTCATCTATTTCAGACCCGGTGCTTACATGTATACTCCCATTTGGCGGCCACTAAAAAAACTCTCCAACGAGCCTTTACGTAAAGTAAAACCTTATTTTTTTTTAGGGTCTCAGAATGATGTTGTTTTCTTTAATAAAGACGTGATCATCATAAAACCGCTAATGATAGCTGTACTCTTGATGAAGATTGCCTTTTTGGGCGGTAATGCGTTTTAGAAAACGGTAGAAGTTGCTCTGCAAAAACGTCTTGTAGGGGGGGGTCTCCAGGACTGCTTGCGACTTCCCCGGCTACTAACAACAAATACCCGGCAACTTGAAATCTTAGTGACAACCCTGTGTGGGCTAGTTCATGCTCGCTACAGCTTGCCCGAATGGCAGGCTGTAAAACTGACTTTCTTTGCACCCTGAATACAGTCAACTCTCTCTTAATGGTCACCTCTATAAGATGGACACCTCCCTAAAACGGACACCTAGTGTTGGTCCCTGCCTTTCTTTACTCCCTTTATTTGACTCTCTGTAAGATGAACATCTCCCTAAGACGGACACTTCCTGCCAGTCCCAAAGGTGTCCGTCTTAGAGGGAGTAATGACTGTAATAGCTGTATTACATGTTAAACCCCTTCATGACAAACCTCAAAATGCACTGTTTAGTATACAGTTGAACCCCCACTGAGTGGTCACCCTTATGGTACAGGTAAGTAGTTTCTTAATGGAGGTTCATCATAAACTAACATAATGTGCAGCTGAAACATAAGACTGAAACATCTTTACTGGTCCATAACAAGTCCCACCTTCTATCATGGGCTTCATTTTCCTTCATCAAGGCCAAAAGGTGTACACAGAGCGGCTTAATAGAGGGTTAATTTACTATGCTCTCCTAAAATTATTTCTGGACTATTATTTCTGATTTAACAGTTCGCTTAATAGAGGGTCGCCACTTAATAGTTGGCTGTATTGTATGGTTGGGGGTGGGGAGTCGGGGCATGACAATAATTTGTATCAAGTAGGTTGATAAACTTATGTGGTCACTGCACCAGGATTTAAGTAGCTGACATTTAGTGTGCTGGGTTTTCTTCAGAGATAAACACTAATGGTGATATTTGATGCTGATCTACCATAAATATTTTTATCGTAGGCTCCTACAGAACCCAAAGCCAAACCAACTATGTTTCAAAGTGGGAAGACAACATTCTCAAAGACATCAAAAGTTTCACGTGTCCTTGTACCAACTGGACCACCAATGAACAAGAGACAGCAAGAGCTTCAAAAGCAGGTAAGTACAGTATAATAATAACAATAACAATAACAATAACAATAACAATAAAGAGACCTTCTTGAATTTCAAAAGCAGTCATTTTACTTTTGTATTTGAGGTTTCCTCGTCGTTGTCGCAGATTCAACCCATCTTCATGTCGTTTGTTGTCATTTTGTCTGTCTTATGTTGCCGCTTCAAAGCCATACATGTCGCTTGTCAGCATTGTACCCTAACAGGGCCACAATAATTTAATGTCAATAGTAATATTTCTGCAGGACCTGGTATCTATCGACAATGTTGCTATGGCAGCAGCTAAGTAGTTTAACCCTGTAAGTCTCAAGAGTGACCAACATCAATTCTCTCCTAAAAATATTGATACATAATCAAGAGAAAAGGTAATGATAACCAATAAAAGGGTTACAATCCTCAGGTCAGAGGGAAAAACAATGAATCATCACCAGGGATAAGTTCCACATGGATGAAAGTGTTTATCAACCTTTTTTGTATCATTTGTCTTATTTTTTTTACAGGAGGCGATAAAAAAGAAACTGGAAATTCAGAAACAGAAACAAGAACTACTCAATAAACAGATCAAAGAACAGAAGGTAAAAATTATGAATTTTATTGCAGCCGTCTGTCTCACCACTTATCCCCCTTCACATTTGTCAGGTATTTCTTAGACTGCTTGCAGCCCACCTTGTCTCTCTTAGATCTGTCAAGTTCATAGAGAGAAGAAACAAAAGACTTTTAACCAAAAAGGGAATAAGGCAAGACAAGAAAAGACAGATTGCTGACTCTTTTGGAGTAAACAAGCTCTCCATCAGCCCAGTGTGGGATTTTTTTAATGTCCTATTACCTGACTTTACTTAACTTGAGGTCACCTAGACAAAATTGACCAGTCGCATTGAAAGTGAAAACATTTTATGTTGGAAAATTCATTTTTACTGTATGCTTAATACTTTGTTTCTGGTTTTCTTTGCCAGCTTTTAATCTCCAAACTTGAAAAGAAGAATCTTAGTGCTGCAGAGAAAGATATGATAGTGAAGGTAAAATATAAATTACCCTCTTACTAAACAGGGTTCATACAGGTCATGGAAGACCTGGAAAGTCATGGAATTTAAATAATATTGTTGGTTCTGGAAAGTGATGGGAAGTTAAAGTTAATTTTGTTAGATTAGTTACTGCAGAATGTCAAAAGCAGGAGAATGTAAGACTTCTGCCAGAGTTAAGATCAATAAGTTAAGCTTAGCCCATTTTAAGAGACTTCTTAGGGATTACTGTACCGCCTCCTTATGGACTTGTTATAATGTAGAGGGCCCCAGAAAACGGAAAACAATTTGCCTAAAATGTAACTACGCTTGCACTCTAACTAGCCGCGTCACTTGCTGCTTTTAGCCTTTCCATCTAGCCTTTCTTTTTCCAATCCTAACGTTGCTTTTATTTTTGATTTTTTGTATATGTGTATCATTTTTTTATTATAATTTTTTTTCTTGGCGAAGCTTAATAAATACATAAATAAATGAAACAAGTTGCAGAACTGAGTTAGGTCAAAAATATATTCCTAAATCAAGGGAAGTCTTAAAAAATATTTAAAACTAAAGCTAAGCCTAAGGTCATGGAAATCTTAAAAAAGGTAATGGAAAAAGTCATCGAAAGTCGTGGAATTTGAAGAGCTCCAAAGAGTACGAACCATGTAATAAAGCCGGCATTTTGTATTCATTGCAAAGTCAGAGTATGATGGTATATTTATGTCACTTGTTACAACTTGTGTTTCATGTTTTTGCTTTTTATTGCAGACAGTAAAATCTCTAAGTTCAAACATTGAAGCTCTGAAGAAGGAAGTTGAGTTAGCAGCTATGGCAGCAAAATCCAAAGAAAGTCCCTCACAGGCCAGACAGATTGTAAGTGCAAACTGTGTTATGATAAATGAATTATTATTAATCATGAAGTCAGCATAATTACCTGTGCTTGCTGTAGCTGAACATTTGTTTGTGTGGATAAATAGATAAACCTTGTGCACACCCACAGAATGGAACATCAAATGCCCATCCCCCTAAATCAAGGATGAAGCCAGGCAAGAGACAAAACACGTCATTTTCCCATTCTTGATTTTTGGGGAGGGGGGTATAAATTTCCCATCTATTTTGTCCAAGATTGACAGATACTATACTTTAAACTGATTGGGTTTGAATCGGCTGAAAAGCAAACTTTGTCACCTGAATAAGCATACAATCTGCAATTGTTGTAAAAGGAAAGCCTGCAAAATATCCAGGCTTTGTGAATGGGACTCAAACCCATGACCTCTGCGATACTGGTGTAGTACTGGTGTAAGCTAATAAGCGGACTGAGAGCTTGTCATTGAGATGGTTTGTTTTAAACCCACGAAAGGATAAGTGATGAATATGAAAATCATATACCAGTATTTAGAACTAACTGTTGTTATTTGACCTTGTTTTTTTTTAGGCCCAGAAAGCAATTCTTGACCAGGAGCTTGACCTGATAACACATCAGAATACTGGGGAAGACACGACAGAACTGAAGAAAAAAGTTGAAGAACTAAAGCAAGAGGTAGTTCCTTGAGATACATTCAATCTGTCTAGTGCATCATTTTTAGTATTTTGATGGATGTGAAATATTATGTGCAAATTCTCTATTGTAACATTTCTCACATCTGTATTAAATGAAATGATGAATATATGATTGAATTTCACATGGTTCAATGTTAATTTTGTTGATCAGCAGTGTTCATCAACTTTTAAACAATGTATTGTGGTACATGGTACGTTGAACTGGGCCATTAAACATTTTAATGCTGATGAATGAGAATGCGGCTGTAGTAAATAAAGATGGACTTTATTTTAGCAATTACACCCCAACAGTGCTTGTAGTTGTTAATCAAAGAATGTTTAAATTTTTTTAAACCCAGTGTCTTTGGCTTTTAGTAGTTCAGAGCAGGAATATATCTACAATACTTGTCAAAAATCTTGAAACGCGTGTGTGTTTCCCCTTGTCCAATTTTGATTTGGGTATTACAGCCGTCTCACTGCCCCAAAATATGTGTGGCTCAACATTGGGGAAGGGGAGGGGCCCATTTGAGTGAGAACAAAAGTGTGAAAAGTGAGTAATGAATTTTAGAGAAAATTCAAGAGAAGCAGTGTCTGTTTCATTGATTTGTGAGGAGTATTGTAGTTACTGACCATGTACTGTTTTTAGGCAAAATCTCTTGGCTTACTGGATCCACCCACAAAGGGACGAGGAAGAGGAGTTGTAAGAGGACGTGGCAGAGGAACACCAGTGAGAAGCAGACCACTTCCAAGAACAACACGGGTGTGGACAAGAGACAGTGCTTCATTAGACCATCGACCAAGGCGGATCAGTGTTGGAGAAATAACAACTGAACAGAAGGAAGATATTACAGAGCACTTTAAAGTAAGTACTATGACGTTTTCTTTTTGCTACTTTTTAAAGCTGAAATGAATCTATGATGCTCAGGAGTATAACCAATTGTCAATGGTGAAAGAAGGGCACATCTCACTTGTCCAAAAGATGGCCTTTAATTTACATTCAGGACTTAATCCCTCAAGGTTACTGACTATTGAAGTAATAATGTCCAAAACGAAACACAGGTTTCATCCAATGTCATCTCACCAAAAATATCAATACCAAACTCAAGATAGAGTGTTTCATGTTATATTCAGACACTGAGAAGTGGTTTGAAAAAAGGGTTTTGCAAGACCCACTTTGAGGATTCTGGATATTGGATGAAACACTGAGTGGAATTTAATACAAAAATGTATAGCTTCTCTCACAAACAAGAAGTTTTGAAGAAATTCAATGCTTAAGTTCATGAAATCATATAGGAGTTGCCTCTGATATCCAAGCAAACACTGTCAAAGTAGTGATTTCCTTGGTTTGTTATCGTGGATTACGGTTCGAGAATCAAACTCATTTGTGGTCTTTGATTTACAATTGAATTTGTTAGATTTGATTACTTCCTGTCCTAATTCCTGTATGTATTGAGATTGAGAATTCATAAAGCTGCAGCCAGTGAAAGTTTGATTTATTAGAGTAAGGAAAAATGGGGAATTTACACGAAGCTAAATGTAATTTAGGCTAAGTTAAACACGGAACCATGGTGGCCAGCAGTTTTCCCCAGAGTTGGATGCAGGATGACCAGGTTTAATGTTGTGATGCAGTGCAAGGGGCCAAGAAGAATGTTACAATGGAGCTTTTGGAGTCACTAAAAAGTAATGTTTGTGCATTAACAGTTGTCTTTTTGTTTTCGTCCTGTAGGAATTCGGTATTGTTGACAATGAAGAATATATTGATGATAAGGAAACTCTCAACTTGACTTTTAGAACAAGAAAAGAAGCCGAAATTGTAAGAATAATGGGTATTATCCATTTGGTCAATGTTTATTTCTAGTATCTATCGGTCTTATGTCCCACCCAATTCCTCCCTCCTTTCTTTATTTGGGTTTACTTTGTATTGCATCAACTTATAAAGATTTCTGGGTGATAGCGGATTTGTAGAGTTGTAGACTGTGAGTAGTCTCCAATTCTCCCCCAAAAGAGCCCAGTGGCCCCTGGCGTCTAACTTTTTCTTTTGGGCCACAAGAAAATCTTAGTTTTTTCGTGGAAACCATATGCTGGGTACCCTAGATTTTACAGGTTCAGAGCACTGGGCTCCCTTCAGTGCTCCCTAGAGCACAGCCGTGAAACTTAGTTGAGTTGTAATGTGTGAGTGGTGAGCAGCTACTCCCCTGTCCTAACATTCAGTCACAGACAAGGCCAGTTTTTATCTCCCCTTTCTACTGGACAGATTAAGAAAGAGAGATTAGTTGTAGTCCAGTTGAATTGGGAAATCCACGAAAGGGTTTGAAAGCGGGCCTTTTGTTATTGACTATACCCTACGATATAAAATTTAGTTTTGAAGATTTGCAGTTATCAATCGATAATGTTTTATACTGTCGCTGGCTTTTCAATCAGAGCTTTATACAAGAATTTTATTATTTTTAGGCCTTCAATAAAGGCAAGACATTCAAAGGCAGAGCCTTGAAGGTTTCTTGGTATCGACCTCGATTGACGCCTACATCACCAGCAACAGCAGTACCAACTACACCTACGACTCCTACAGTGCTCAAGAAAGTAGAGGAAGAGTTAGGACTGGATATTGATGCTGAACTGGTAAGAACTCTATGAAATGTAAACGTTTTGTGTATGCGTTGTGGTGTCCTAAACAGAGTGCTAAAGTGATAACGTTATAAAAATTAAAATTTGAAATTATGGGATTTGTCAGGATAGCCTGAAGGAACAACATCCAAGAGGCCTACTTGCCAAAAACTAGCATTGTGGGGCAAATTGTCTCTGAGATATTAGCCCAGTTATGTTCTGATGACTCCCTGCAAGTCCTTTTAAATTTGACTTGGGTCATAACGTTATGACCCGAGTCAAATTTATCTACTTGTAAATCCCATATCAGTGCGCATGCCCATTGATTATCCCATCTTTTAGTAATATGAATTAGAGAGTAAGGCTTTCTTGTTTGGGAGCCTTTCAGAACTCTTTTGTTTTGCTGTTAGACAACGGTTTATTTCAGAACAATTCATTTTCTTTTTGTTTTTTTAGGGAAAACATGAATTTGATGCGGATGCAGACGAAGCTTTGCTTCTTGGAGAAGATTTTGATGAAGAAGATGAAGAAGAAGATGAACGATCGTGGAAAAGGTAGTTACAACTACTGTTTAAGTTGATACGGCCAAACTGCGTCGAAGCATTGTAAAATAATTGTCATGATTTAACTGTTCCAGACTTGTAACTAATATAAAGTGAGCTTAGCTTTCTGTAACATTGTAACATCAAGCGTTAACTTCAGTGGATTCCAATCGTCTTTGAAAGAGCAAGATTTCTTGTGTGCATTTCGTCTAAAACGCACTGTCATCGTTCTCCAAAGTCAAAGGCTAAGAGATGATACCCATCTCAATGTTTTATTGAAAAATACTTGTCTTTGACCTAGTTTAGGTTTTACTGTCTGTTGTATTAATTTTATAGTACTATAAGTTAAGTTGTAGTGAATACTTCTTTGTATTTTTGTGAAGGCCTGAGGATGCAAAAAAAATGAAAGTGATGCTTAAAAAAGATATCCGTGGAAAAGAAAAGCAGAAAAATATTGAAAGTAAAAAAATGACTTCAGATTCACAATAAAAATACTTCACATTTGAAAAGATTAAAGAAAACAACAACAACAACAGCAACAAAAAACAAACCAAAAATCTTACAAAAGTCAATGACCAATTCTTGTCTATGGTCACATTGTGACTGCTGATTAGAACAGCACTGGAAAAGTGCTATTTCTGGCTGGACGAAGACAGTTGAAGGCAGAAGAAGTGGCAAGAGTTGGAAAACAGAAGCCAAGAAGAAGACACAAGATTTGAATGGAGTAGGATGAAGTGTTCTAGAAGCAGTAACAACGCTCAGGACAAGTGGGGTGAGTATACCGTACAATTTATACATGGTAATTTCATATCTGTTCCAAATCTCCAGTCAATGTTACAAAAAACTGAGTTTCCTCCAGTACAAAGGTAACTCCTATATTAAGGAAACTAGACTTGTGTTAATTTTCAAACGACATTGCATTGAGTAAGTGGAGTAATAGGAACACGGAAAACGGGCATCTACCCATTAAAACACTAGACGCCACCTGGGCGTGACCTTACTGCCAGGGCTCCCCCCTCCCCCCAGGGCTCCCCCCTCCCCCTCATAAAAGGGCAAAAGACAGCCCGGGTCTACATGCAACACTTTACCGATGACCGTCTTATCTTCTTCCCTGAGTGAGTTTGAGAGGCTAATAGCCTATCTTTGTTGGTTTTGTTTTTACGTATCGAAAATTTTAATATTTTTTTTGTCTCTCGATGCTGTCGTAGCCTCCCACGCAGACGTTTTTAGGGGTGGTCGTCTTTCATCCCTCCCCACAAGGGATGAAAGACGAGCTCCCCTGAAAACGTCTGCGTGGGAGGCTAATGCTATCAGGGAGCTTAACCAACTCCGACGGTGACGGCGGCTAAAACGTCACTTAGTAAAAAGTCTCAAACTCCATTGCTCTTACTCCATTTCGTTCAATTTTTCAAATGTTGGCGAATTTTTCTGGAGTACTTTATTTTTTCTGAATGATCCAAAATGTTCTATCGAGAGGAGCAAGTTTATGAATTATGCAGACGACTCAAAAATTCACACTTCAGATCCCTTTCCCCAGGTTGGAGCATTTTAATAGGGACGTAGCCAATACGCTGCACTTGTTCACCTCATGTAAGGCCAGTGAATCCAAGATAGTCTTGGATTCTGGATTCCACGTTGTGGATTCCAGATTCCAGGTACTGGATTCCAAGTCTTT